CGATGGAAGTAATATATCTGATATGGCTGCTGGTTGGCTAGCTCTGATGGTTCTTTTGTTTTGTATGCTCAATCCATCCCATTTCCTGTGAAGTCCCAAAACTCTTTTGTTGAATTTAACTCTTATTCTTCTTTAATCTTTGTAGCTATAAATCTTGTATTGAACAGTAACCAATACAAGTATTACTATATGGAGAGCATTGGGACATGAACACTTGGTTATGACTTTAGGCTGTTTTTTCCCCCTGACGGAATGACTTTAAATGGTTTATTATCACCCAGTGTCAAGAGATGTAGCAATTCCTTGTTGATGTTGGTCATGTCTTTAGTTTGCCTCCTAAGCATGATGAGGCTTGTGCCTTTATGACTTCAAAGAATCTGGTTTGAGTTAGCTACCGTTGACTTTTAATTATTCATGAAGAATGTTCAGTGTTGCGTTCTGTAGTCACTAAAAATATTACATGTGTGTCAATATGTGCAAGATTATGCTTGGAAACCTTCAATGGTGGTTGTTTTGATGAGATATTGAGAAGCTCATCAGAAGATAGTATTAGCATACAGGCACAACTAACTTGACATCTAAAATACTATATAAGTTCTATGTATTTTTTTTTTTGTACGAGGTTTTGAAATCATGATTCATTGACTTTTATTCAACAGGAGAGAAAGTCACGGGCTGATCTGGTTAATCATGAGGGTTTGAACTTCACCAAAGAAATACTAAGCCCTAGCTCATTCTCAAGGCAATTATCCGAGCAAATGACGCTCGCTAAGGCTTATGTCATCATTGCAAAAGAGCACAACAATCTTTACCTTGCTTGGGAGTTGAGCAAAAGGATCCGGAGTTGCCAACTTCTGCTCTCAAAAGCTGCCATGAGAGGGGAGCCCATAACAGCAGAAGAAGCAGAACCAGTGATTAGCAGTCTCTCATATCTAATATTCAAGGCTCAAGGTTCCCATTATGACATTGCAACCACTATAATGACGATGAAGTCCCATATTCAAGCACTCGAAGAACGTGCAAATGCAGCCACCGTGCAGAGCACAGTGTTTGGTCAGCTGGTGGCTGAAGCTCTCCCCAAAAGCCTCCACTGCCTGAAACTAAAGCTCACAGTCGACTGGCTTTCGAAGCTGCCCCTCCAAGCTCTTGCGGAGGAGAATATGAACTCACCTAGGGTTGTAGACAACAACCTCTACCACTTCTGCATATTCTCAGACAATGTCCTGGCCACATCAGTGGTGGTCAACTCCACAATCTCCAACGCCGATCACTCAAAGCAGCTCGTGTTCCACATAGTGACAAATGGGGTTAGCTTTGGAGCAATGCAGGCTTGGTTCCTGACCAATGACTTCAGAGGGGCCACTGTGGAGGTACAGAACATAGAAGAGTTCAGTTGGTTGAATGTCTCTTACGCTCCCGTGGTGAAACAGCTGTTGGATAAAGACTCACGAGCGTTCTACTTTGGTGGTTATTATGAAGATGTTAGCGTCGAGCCAAAACTAAGAAACTCCAAGTACTTGTTTTTGCTAAATCATCTCAGGTTTTACATACCTGAGATTTATCCCCAGCTGGAGAAGATAGTTTTCTTGGATGATGATGTGGTTGTCCAGAAGGATCTGACTCAGCTCTTCTCTCTGGATTTACATGGAAATGTTAATGGAGCAGTGGAAACTTGTCTGGAGTCGTTTCATCGGTACTATAAGTATCTAAACTTCTCAAACCCTATTATCAGCTCGAAGTTTGACCCCCAGGCATGTGGATGGGCTTTCGGGATGAATGTTTTTGATTTGATTGCATGGAGGAAAGCGAACATCACTGCACGGTATCACTTTTGGCAGGAGCAAAATGCTGACCGTACACTTTGGAAGCTGGGCACACTTCCTCCTGCCCTGCTGGCATTTTATGGTCTGACCGAGCCACTTGATCGAAGGTGGCATGTGTTAGGATTAGGTTATGATATGAACATTGATGACCGACTGATTGAGAGTGCTGCAGTGATTCATTTCAATGGGAACATGAAGCCGTGGTTGAGGCTGGGTATTGGCAGGTATAAGCCTCTTTGGAAAAGGTACATAAATGAGAGCCACCCGTATTATGCAGATTGTGTTACAAGTTGAAGCCGAGGCCTCCACTTACCTGTTTGAATATGAAGGGCGATGATTGCATTATTTGTAGAGTCCAGTAGGAAATTTTTGGCTTTGTTTAGGATCTCAAGGTTACCCTTCCCTTTCTTTGCTTACAGAATAGTCGCTTAAAGATGAAAATGGAAACAACTTTTATACATTAGAAGGAAAAGAACCCTTGTGAAGAAGTGGTGAAAATTCATTGGTTTGGTGCGGGGACTTTCTTTCTTCCACCCCTCACTATGAAGCAAAAGCTGTAGAATTGTTTGTTCCTTGGCAAGATACCTACTGTAATAATTTCCAGAAACTCTATTTTAGCGTGACAACTTGAACAATACCAGTCTGTTTTGTTTGATCATACTGCATTTATCTGTCTCTTTGTTAAGCTTGTGGGATTCGGTGTTGTTGCAGTTGTTGATCCCTGTTGTCGTAATTGTGAATGTGACAGAAGATTGATCCCTGGTTATTGGTCACATTTCACTTGCTGTCTCGTTTCCAAGTCCACCCAACTTCTTATAGTTATTCAGAACCTAGATCCATAACTCAAAGTTGGCTCCCTTACGCAGATCTGATTAACCAAATTTGAGAGTGGTTCCTATACATAACTCATTGGTGCAAATCATGATTATCATATATGGAAGACTACTAATTTTTCTCTCAATAAATTTTAATGGACTATATCTCTTTTGTTCTAAGTCAGAAATTAAAAGAATTGCACATAATAATCAGATGAATTGAGATCTTCAAAATAACAAATAACATCCACTTTATATATTCTGAACCCAAAAAAATTGAAACTTTTATTACCCGTCCATGCCATGTGGGACTACTTGGTATGTACATAAGATTATAACACATGGTATGGTATGAAAGTGTATCAATTGTCATTTACCACATTTCTTCAACATATGCAACTAATTACTACTCTGAGCTAGGGTTGTATAAGGTGGCACTTTTTATATTGAAATTTTTTTCCCAAGAAATTTGTAATTGTAATAGATGACGAATAACTCATTCCTTTTGACAAAAATTTTAAAAATTTTGAGTTAAAAACTAAGGTTATACCAGGGTGGTAACGAGTGGTATAGGTGGTATGAAACTTTTCTCCCTCGAAATATATTTGGAATATAATTTTGTAAATCGCAACAAACTCGTTCCATCTGTGTAATTTTGTTTTTGAAATCTAACTTAGAATAAAGAAGATAAAACTGACGAAGAAAGTAGGGAGTACGGAAAGTAAAAACCATTCATTCTCATCCCTTAAGTTTGACCCCACTTGAAACTAAGGCTCCAGGTCTTGTTATGCAACCCCAAACTGGCGGTGTTGAATACATGGATTAATATTTCAATATAGCATGGTCCATGAAACTGTCCCGGATATTCTGCCGGAAAAGTCAGTGATATGATATTTTATGATAAAATTGTGGTTTAACCGTAGCTCAACTATTATACCGTTAAATACCGCATACCGGTTTAGCCTCCGATACTGGTATTTCGTAATTGAACAGCCGGTACGGTACTGTTTCATGGCCATGCAATATAGTCCAAAATTTGCAAAAAAAAAAAAAAAAAAAAATCCAAGCCTACCTGTTGTAATAAAAAATATCAAATTAACATAGTATTATAAGAAATTCTCAAACCACACATGTTTGGAGCAGATTGATTGAGTCAATCAATTTGGATGTTGAAATAATCCCTATTCCCCTTGACATTTGGAAATAACTCGTTTTACCCTTACGTTATTGTCAAATACCACATTTAAATGGCTCAAGATAGGGTGCATAACCATGGGTTATGCATCCATCAATAACCAAATCTGGACCCTTCATTTAGAAAATCCAGATCTAAGGATGGAGAATTAAAGATCATTTTTATTTTCTCTAGCTTTCTTAATCGGCTCATATCTTTTTCGTTTTAACTCGGATTTTAATTTTTTTTGCACAGGTGGAACGAGTTCATCGTGCTCTACAAAATGAGATCAATTTTCAATATTTTTTTAGAACAAAAAATTCTGGCCTCTCGGTACCAACTGCATACCATATGGTATTTTCTTCATTTTTAATTCGTTTTTGAAAACGTTTGCACAGAAGGGACGAGTTCATCATGATATATTGGATCTACAAATTTCTGGGTGAACAAATTACAGGACCAAAAAATACCACACAATACCATACAATACCACCCTGGTACGGGGTGGTATTGTATGGTATCTTCTTCATTTTAATTCGTTTTTGAAAACGTTTGCACAGAAGGGACGAGTTCATCATGATCTATTGGATCTACAAATTTATGAGTGAAAAAATTACAGGACCAAAAAATACCACATAATACCACCATGGTACGGGGTGGTATCTTGTGGTATACAATGTTAAAAGTCGTAAATGACAATTAATATATTTATACTATCATGTATTCAACCATCCTACAATCTTGGTTTGTTCATACCACCATGGTACTTTTTTCAAACCATAGGCATGCTTTTATTTCAATACTAGTCAATACCATATGGTATAGACTGGTAAAAAATGGCTCAATTTTTTTTGTTCGAAAAATATATTAAAGTGGATATCATTTTGAAGAGCACAATTAATCTGATCTAACTGTACAAAAAAAAAAAAAAATTAAATTTCGACTTAAAATGAATGAGAAATCGTCCGTCAAAGATTAAAGAGGGGAAAATTAAAGACTTTCCGGGAGAGAGAGGATGCTGATGTCATGCTGATGTGGACGGGTTACTCACCACAAGGTTACTCACCGGATCTGCTCCCCATGTAAATGGTTCAGCCAAACAAGATATTTTAGAAATCACATACCAAATTTCCACTAAAAAATGAATTGTTTGACTATACATATATTACATTAACAATTAATCCATCCGAACTTGAGTTGCTCAACCGCCCCTAGCCCGGTGCTCATGACGCGCTACGGTTTTATCTTTTGATAACAAGCTCAAAACACTAATCCACTCCTTTCCTAGCAGGCTAAGCTCAAAACACTAATCCACTCCTTTCCGCTAAGTAATTAATCAAACATATTGGTGATTTCGTCGGTTGTTGTTGTTATAAGACATTGATGTAAGTTCTAGGGTTAATACCTTGTTATGGCCTGAACTATGACCATGTAATCAACTTTGGCCAGTGGTTTGAGAAATTAACATCCTGGCCCGAACTATGCAGCATATAGACAAAATTGGCCTGGAGCGTGGTTTGACCATTTGTTTGGACGGTCAACACCGTTGACCGTTAGTCAACTGTCCAGGTCACTGCCATGTCAGCATAAAAAAATTATAATTTCATTTTTCTTTTTATTTCATTTACAAAATTGAATAATTAAAAAAAAACAAATACAAAAACTTTTTGTCCACCCATCCCCACCTTATCCCCTCACCTTCTTTCCTTTTCGATCAAACCCAAACAAACCCTATCTTCCATCTTCTTCCTCCTTCTTCCCCGACGAGCCGCCACCTCCATTCTCTCCGACTTCAAATGCAGCGGAGAGCCGCCGCCTGCATCATCTTCACCAGCTTCCCCTGCAGGACGAATCCGGGCAATTTGCTCATCGACAGGTTCGGGGAAAGCATCCCGTTCATCCATGTCAAGGTCGAAAGCTGCCGCCTTTCCGATTTCCTCAAACGCCGTGAACCGGAAAACCTCAACTGCCTCCTCCCTCGAGCTCCCTCCCGTCGAGAAAGCTTCGAATTCGAATTCGCAGCTGGTTCAAAATCATCGCCGTGGAAGCGGCGGCGGAGCAAGCTGATCAGAATCATTGCTCCAAGCGCGGCCGGATTGGTGGTTTTGATCCTGGTGGCGGCGGTGCTTGTTTTGTGCCTAGTTCGGCGGAATGGGAAGGCGAAAGAGAATGCGGAAGCGAAAGGCAGAGACAGCGGCGGGGGAAGCTTGGGCGGCGGCGGCGGCGGAGAGAGCGGGGGCCCCAGTGGTGGAAGGCAAGGGGGGTTTTCGTGGGAGAAAGGGGAGAGCATGGGAACACTGGTGTTCCTTGGCGCAGGGGATCAGGTGATGAGTTACAGTTTGGAGGCGGCGGCTCGTCGGGGAAGAAGGAGGAAGAAGAAGGAAGATAGGGTTTGTTTGGGTTTGATCGAAAAGGAAAGAAGGTGAGGGGATAAGGTGGGGATGGGTGGACCAAAAGTTTTTTTTTTAATTGTTCAATTTTGTAAATGAAATAAAAAGAAAAATGAAATTATAATTTTTTTATGCTGACATGGCAGTGACCTGGACAGTTGACTAACGGTCAACGGTGTTGACCGTCCAAACAAACGGTCAAACCACGCTCCAGGCCAATTTTGTCTATATGCTGCATAGTTCGGGCCAGGATGTTAATTTCTCAAACCACTGGCTAAAGTTGATTACATGGTCATAGTTCAGGCCATAACAAGGTATTAACCCTAAGTTCTATTGGTGGAATTTTCGGGAATTCTCTACTCTCTAGTGTCTTGACGGGACTGATGTAGTGTAATTTTTACCGGCTACAACCGGTCTTTGACTTTATCCATTATTGGGCTACGGGAACAAAGAACAAATAATAAATATTTCCAGTTTTCTTGTTTTGTACTTTCGTCCAACGTTTTTTCCCCCTCAATTGAGACCCCGTGAAAAAAACAACAAATTAAGAGTTTTGGCTAGGAATGATAAAAGTATCCGGAACCATGGATATTCATTCGAATCCAACTTAATTAGGTAGAGTAAAACTCGAATTCGAAAGATTTTTCATGGGTATGATCAAAGTAGTTAAAATCGGGATTTTACCTAAAATAAAAAACTAGAGTAAAATCGAAATCGTAAAATCGAATCATAGAATCGTAGGATTTTAAGTACCATATAAAAATTAACATTTAATAATATTAATAAGGTAATTAATTAATAACACAAAGACTTATAACATTTAAAGTGATAATTTTCAAGATTAATGTTCCAAAATCATCATTTTAATTGTTATTTAATGCGTAACTCAAAATAATTTATGAGGAAATGATAGAGCTCATGGGGTTTGGCTCTTGTTTTTCATGTTGTGTCTAGGTAGTTTAACTCAAAGTAGCATTCCGACATCGTCTACTAAGCATGATTAAAAACTAAGAATAACTTAAATCCAATAAAATAATTAATGTCATTGGTTTGGTACAAATATAATCATTAATTAAATAATTTGTTAATAATGATGTTAATTTTTAGGCACTTACAATATTCTGACAATTGTTTTACCGATGAGTTAAACAAGAAGAAGGGAAAGGGGTTGACCGAACCCTAACTAGTTTTTCTTCTTCTTTTCAAATGTTCTTTTAATAGGAAAAATATATGAAAAGATCCCCATCATTGCCCTTTTCATCGAAACAGTTCTGTTTCTTTTGAATTGGCTCAAGCTCCCTATTTAGTTCACATAGGATCAAAATCCCGATTTTGGTTCAATTCTACGATTTTAATCCCGATTTTGAAAGATTTTAAGGTCCACCATTTTTATAGTAAAATCAGGATCGGAATCCCTAAGTAAAATCCTAAAATCCTACGATTTTACAATCAAAATCCCGATTTTGACTGCATTGGGTATGATAAAATATGAATTGGAATATTGCGGGTAATGGGTAGACATGATTTTTCTCAACATATTTGATATTTAGCATACAAATATAATATTTTCATAAAATCATGGTGTTGTTAATTAATGTTCTTCACTCTAGTGATTTATTATGGTACTTTTCCATTTATGTAATGTGAGTATACGTGTGAATGTTAACGTGTTGGTTGGAGTATAAAGAGAAAATACTATTCATGGATAACCGTGAATAGCCGAAACCCGAATGGGTATGAGCATGATTTTGTTTTTAACTCGATTCTTATGTGGGTATGGATATGGATAAAACCCGAATTACTCTGGATAGGGCAACGAATATGCACTATCCGCCCCCGACCCGACCTGTTACATCTCTGGTTTTGGTTGGAAACCTAAAGTAAATATGAGTTAGTTTTAAAATATTTTTAGCGTGTATTTAAAAAATTAAGTTAATATTATCCATGGCGGTGCTAGAAATTCGAATTGAAGATAAAAGTACAAAATCAAGATATTTGAACTATGATAATGGGAGATGAGCTAATATCTTACTAATTATACTATATCTAAAAAAGATTTGCATGTAGTTTTATCTATGTTTATAATTTTCTATCATTAACATGGTTTCGCCGCTGTAAGGCATGAAAATAAAACCCGCATTCACAGGTACTCAAGAATCCCCAATCAACACAGGAAATTTCCACATTGATTGAGTATGAGGCTAGTATGGTTAAAACCCGCAAAAAGTTTGATGGCTGTGGGGTGGTATGATTTTAGACACCCCCACAAGTATCTGAATGAGCAGGTATGACCCACAGGTATCTGAATAAAGTCGGGGGAGACTAAAACCATACCACCACATCCCCATCCCCATCAATTTTTTTGCGTTTGTACCCGTACTCTCTCATATCCAGTCAATATGGAATTCCCCATATTAATTGGGTCGGGGCGATCGAGCACTCATGGTTGCGGGTTTGATTGCCATCTCTAGCATCGACAAAGCCACATTAGTCATATGAGGTCATAAATATAGGTAGAAATATATGTACATTTAGTAAAAAAAAAATGGTAAGAGAATAATGCATAAGATATTAGTCCATATCCAATTATCACTGTTCAAATATCTTGAATTTATATTTTTAGCTTCAATTAAATTTCTAGCACAACCTTTGATAATATAAACTTAATCTTTCAAAACACGGTAAAAACATTTTAAGACTGACTCATATTTATTTTTTAGGTTTCTAGCCAAAAATCTGCATTTGTTGTATTTTTAGGTGGTCCACCACCTGCTTCAATTCAACCCAGGACCCTCAACGCGCACATAGATGTGAAGCAATGGCAAGTGCTAACAAACTCATCACAAAACATAACCTTGATCAATGCCAAATGTATAAAACAAGCTGAAACAAACCACACAGCCCTTAAAAAAGACGTGACAGAGTCATTCTTGTTCAGTGGGCCATATTCCGATCTCCGTGTAGCCATCTTCAGTGGCGCAGGCCCGAAACATGCCGGTGGTATTGAAGGGCATGGTGACTTCCCCAGAGGCAGAGACAGCCACCAAGCCAGCAGTGCCTTGAGGAACACGCTCGCCCACGACATAAGCTGCCGCTTCCTGGAGAGACAGGCCCTTATACTCCATAAGAGCAGCAACATCTCTAGCAACAGTAGCACGAATCACTGCTTCCCCTCTCCCCGTGGCGGAAACCGCACAGTAGCTGTTGGCGTAGGTCCCTGCACCTATGACTGGGGTGTCCCCAATCCTTCCCACCATTTTGTTCACAAGCCCGCCTGTCGAAGTTGCGGTTGCTAAGTTCCCATCCCTATCAACTGCCACACACCCCACCGTTCCAATCTGGCTATCTCCACTGCCGCCATTAGCAGCCAGAACTTCACTCTTCTCATCTTGTTTTATGGGTTGTGTGTAATCAATCTGTTGAGCCATACCCAATTATAAAAAAAAAATGACCAATCCATCTTCATATAATCCAATCACAGGTAGTTGGCTGTGAAAATGGCTATGTTCAACCCTGGAACTGGAAATGCTCATTGTTTTCTCATTCAGAAATGAATCAGAAATGCAATCCAAAGAAGTATCTCAATTGCTAAAATGTGCAAGCAATTGAATCAACGGTCTGCTGATCTCTCGAAATCTCAGGGAGCACATTCAAAATTCAACCTTTTGTACTAGTATGACATAAAACCAGCAGCCCAAGAACTGCAGCTATATATTCAAGTCCTGGTGTCCAAATCATGGTGAAAGTTTCACCATCTCAAATAGATAAGGGTAGAATTGCTGAATGAATAAGTGTTGTGATGTGATGTACCTGGACTCTGTTGGCTTCTTTTGCCTGCTTCAACCTCTCAATATTTCCCGGAGTAATGAAATGACTTGGATCCACAGTCTCTAGTCCCTGGACGATTCAATAACCCCCTCAATCACGGGTGAAACCAACTGAACTAACAGCAGGCAGCTTTTGCAACGAAAAAACCCCGAAAACAACATGGATGAAATCAAGACGAGTGTTGCAGACAAAGAATGTCAATGGAGTGAAGATTGTGAATTAGCAGGCAGCAAAGTTGGAAGGACTAACATGTTCCCTAGCGAAAGCTTCAGCACCTTGGAACCCAAGATAAATGTGAGGAGTCTTGTCCATGACTAGCCTCGCCACCGATACGGCGTTGACAACAGTGGTTAGCCCAGAGACAGCTCCGCACCTCATAGTTTTGCCGTCCATGATGCAGGCTTCCATCTCAACTGTCCCGTCAGTGGTCAACACCGATCCCTTTCCAGCATTGAACTGCGGGTGGTTCTCTAATTCGCGAACCTGCAAAGTAACAGCCATGGAGCCACTAGCAACCTCTAACATGCCGATGATACAAGATTCTAATTATATATAAATCCGCCCATTCAAGCCAATTACTACTGGATTCAATTTTCCGATGGCCAGAGGATATCCGGGAAGTGATTTGGGCGGGCGTACCACGAGTTCGACGACGTCGAGAGGGTGGGCGTGGGATTGGAGAGCGGAGACGCCGAGTTGGAGGCAGTGGCGGAGAGCGGCCTCGCGAGGGAGGTGGCGGTCAGGGGAAAGTGAGCGTGGAATGTCGCCGGCGCCGCCATGAAGAGCGATTGCCCACCCCATGTTCTCCTCCACGCCGGCTGCTTCTGTTCCGGTCTTCGGGTGGGTTGGGTTGGGTTGGGGAGTTCCTTCCTTTTATTAATTTGATTTGATTTCTCTCCTGTTTCTCTGTTTTGCTGACTGGGATCCCTTTGCAGGCCGTTGGTCTTGATTGGATTTGGGAGGGTGGTTTCTGGTTTGGCTGCTTTCTTCGTCAGCCTGCAGTAGGCAGCAGCCATCCTTTCCACGTCTAAGTTTACATGTCTTTTTCCTTGGAGCGATCGGGGAACATCAAATCGTGATGATGACTCTTTTTCCACGAATGATTGGGGACATTTATTTGATTTAAGAGACTGAGCCTGCATTTTGTTTTATAGGAAATAATGGTGTTAATATTACTAGATATTGTCCGCTCGCTTACGCTTCGTGTGCCGAGTGGAAGATAAGACGGTTTATGTACCGTTAGGAAATAATTAGTTAAATATAACCTATAATGACCTAATTTCAAGAGCGGCAAGAAAAATCACTAAGATGTTGTGGTAGAGGTCCGTAGTAAATTGCACTCTCTGGCCAATGAAGTTATGAATTAGCGGACGACGATCTAAATATTTGGAACTTCACAACTGTTAATTAGATAATTAGCGAAGTTTTTTGCGCTTGAAATGAAAAATCACAAAGAGAAAAAAGGCGAAATAATGTAGCATTTAGTTTTGTTGGTTCAGAAGAAACTTTCACTATTTAATGGAGAGCGAGAAAGGGATGAGTAAGAATGCAAAATCAAATACTAACAAAGAGGTCAATTTAAGCACAACAACAAAAGATGCGCTTGATGAACAGTAAGCCATATTAGAAGATTTATAAGTGATTTTCCTAT